TGTGTAGTTAACATGCAGCGTTCTTGGATTTCTGACCCAATTTCTCACCCTTTGCTTCAGCCCAACCATATGTTGCTCTGGACTGGGATTCTGAAATGAAGAAGCGCTACTACAATGACACTGAGGCCGAAGTGAGTGTGCAACTTTCTAAGTAGGAACCCTCTCTTTTCTGTTTTTCATGTAGTATTGTGCTCAAGTTCTGCAACCCAGACTACTGTAGTGAAATCTAGCTTCAAGTATAGACTCAACTACAGATCTCACCAGGAGGTCTTAGGCTAGTCACCCTTTATCAGTCTTATAGGAGTTGTACGGATAATAAAGTAACACCTAATGTAATCTCGGACTCTCAAAAAATGTTCTCAGATGTAAATGTGAAAACGGCCTTGCTCTTCCTTTCTGCCTTGGAGAAATTAGCCTCTGATCTCTTTATATCCATCATGTATTAATGTTCTTCCCTTTAGGGCTACGTCAAGCATGACTCTATGGGCTATACGCCAAAGAAGAACCCTGTAAAGCTGCAGGAGTGCATTGAGTTGTTCACTACCATGGAAACGCTGGAAGAGGAAAATCCCTGGTGAGAATTGAAAATCTGTCTATGATAGAGCCTCTTCCATTGAGATAGCAGGAAAGGGTGTGAGGTGATTGGATGCTGACTCAGTGCTGGTCAACACTTCAAAATTCAATAGATAAAGGTAACAAAACAAGAATGCTGCATGAGCCAAATAAATCCATGTGGATCTTATTTCATAATAATCCAAATTAAATAGAAAATCCAACAGATTATGGAATATATGATAAGCTCTCAGTTTATCGGATCATTCCATGCTAAATCTTCTCTCTCAAGATTGGGGAGGGCGGGGGGGAGAGGGAAAGGAGGCAATTTGTGGAATGCTAATTCTCTTGAAAGAAAAGGTGTCAGGCTTATGGGTTTGTCTGTTACAGGTATTGTCCCACCTGCAAAAAACACCAACTTGCCACCAAGAAGCTGGATTTATGGTCACTACCGGAGATTCTGATTATTCACCTCAAGCGTTTCTCTTACACCAAATTCTCCCGGGAGAAACTTGATACCCTTGTGGAATTCCCTATCCAGTAAGTCAGGAGACCTAGCCATTAATTTTTGTTACCAGGAGTGAAATGGGTGGACGCTTTATGTATATGGCATGATCTTGGACAGCATAGATCATTGAAAATGCACCCGTGCAACACTCATCCTTTCACCTGAGGAAACAGACGAGTGATAATTTATGGGCTCTGAAATTGTGAAAGATGATTGAAAGCCTTCATCTTCTGTTTTGGAGGTCATCAAAAACTCAGCCTGAATCCGACTTTGTGTGAATGGTGTTGGTGAAACTAGATTTATCTATGTTGTCCTTTCTATTATCTTAATTATCTTTTTTTGCTTACTATTACTTACTCCTTTTCTGCACTGTGTAACACTGTTTACACCATAAAGGGAATAATAATATCATGATGGGTATGTACTGTATGTTACATCAATTAAAAAAAAAGTCTCAGTAATCATGTAAGCTCCATCACCAGGAGACCCTGTCATCATTGGCTGTGCTGCTAAAGGATTTCCAAAGGTAGCTCCAGTGCTATTGAGGATCTAGAAAGGGGGCGGGCCGACCTTTCCCAAATGTGGGGAGATTCTCTGTCCCTGTTTTAAGGCTCTCAGCAGGAAATACTTGCTTTGTACTACCAGTTAATTGACAGATCAGGGGAAACTGTATCCCTGCTTTCCTCCTGCCCAGGCCTTCAGCTCTCTTGGGTTACATTTGATGTACATTTCCATGCTCCGAGGCATGGAACTTTGCTGTCAGACACATCCTGAGCTCAAGGTGTGGGAGGCTGCATTAGTGTAAAATTATTGTGGCAGCTGGGAGCACCCATTGAGATAGTAGCAATTCCTTTGTGCAAATACACAGTATGACTTTTCTCCAAAGGGGTTGCTGTCGGGATTGAAAAAAAAAAAAAAAAGTGGCTTTGTAATTTCTCTCTTACAGGGGCCTGGATTTTTCTGATTTCATCATCAAACCCCAGAAAGAAACGGACGCTTCCCTGTACAAATATGACCTCATTGCTGTGTCCAACCACTATGGTGGCCTCCGGGATGGACATTGTATGTATCCTGACACTAGAGGAAATAGATTTTTTTTTTAGGGGGTGGGGATAAATTTGGGGCCTCAAAGAAGAATAATTAAAGCATAATCCAATAAAAACATGCTACTCTTAGTAAGGGGTATGTGCAAATATTTGGAGGATAGTTCTATATAAGAGTGTAAAGCCACCCAGTGTCGGTATATTGGTGAGATGGGCGGGATATAAATTTAATAAACAAGCAAACAAGATTTTCCCAACCTCCCTGTTTCAGAACCTACCAAACTTTGTCTTTAGTTATAGCTTTCAGGTCCATGGACCCATCTGCCAGATTTTTTTGTTTTTATTTTGTCGCATTCCTCCTCCTCCATCTGGAGGTCACAAGCTGCCTGCCACTCATCTGATGGATGAGGACTGTTTGTCTTTACAGTAGTTGCAAAGTAATAGCTAAAAACTTGCTCCGATTTTTGCTGGCAACGGTACCAATACTTACTAACTTTAAAGAATCTTGTTTTCTCTTGTAGGAAAGAGATGACTCTTTTTTTTAGTTCCTTTGAACCAGTCTTGATTCCTGATGACTGACTGGACTAATCCCTGCAGTTTTGGGGGACAAGATTTTTCAGAAGTAGTGTGCCATTGCCTGCTTCCTAGGGCTAAGAAAGAGTGACTGGCTCAAGGTCACCCAGCTGGCTTGTGTCTAAAGCAGGACTGGGCAGTGTTTCTAGCCTGGTGCCTCAACCACTAAACCAAATTGGCTGTCATTCTCTCTTAGCCCAACATGACTAGAAAGCAGAAACAATGAGAAAAAAGAGAAGAGCTTAGCCCAGGGGATATATTCATTGGAACTATAAAGAAACAGACATAAAACACAACTCTGCCTGAATTCCTTTGTGATAAGACCGTGTTTGTTTTCTTGGTGGATAACAAAAGAATACAGAATGATCTGACTCATCTCTTGTACTCTCTAGACACCACTTTTGCCCGGAACAAGGACACTGGGACGTGGTTTTATTTTGATGACAGCAGCGTGTCTGCGGTTTCAAACAACCAGATTGAGGTAAGGCATTTCGTGTTTGGATGGGCTGGTGGTTTCAGTACTTTACTGGCGAATGCCTTGCTGTATAATCGGAGCACTGGTCTCCACCACACCTTTTTGCTACAAGGATTGTCAGACCTTATAATACAATATATTCTTTGACTTGCATTTGTTTTATGGGTAACTTTTGAATGGAACCTTGGAAACTGTGTTTCGAAGCAGGCTGGCTTTTTAGTGGGACCAAATTGAAATAAATTATCTATGCATTCTTACTTGTTAAGAAATGGGACACATTCCAGTGTCTATAAAGAGTCATTTTAGAACGACTATAAGGGAGGAAAGGAGGCTTATTTGCCTCGGATTGCTTCCTTAGTCTTGCCATCGACTGGGGGCATCATAAGATGGAGGACTGCTATTAAGATGTGTGCTGCACCTGCAGTGGGAGTAAAAATGCAGAATGTGACTCTAGCTTTTTGAGAATGTCTTTTGTTAAAGTTAACTATTTAAACCCAGCTTTTGATGCCTTGGTATGCTTTAAGATACTATCATCCCCAGGTTTTCCAGCTAGCATGGTGATTTCTTTTATGGGCTGCAGATTCTGGAGAGGTCAGTTTCAGTACATCCCAGTATTAGGTAAACAAGCCGTGGATTAAATTTTAAGACTGAAGAAACCTGCTTTGAGGACATGCTTCAGAATCTTCATTTTTTCCATGGTAGCCAAGCTGGAATAAACAATGACAGTGCAAAACTTTATCTCCTATGATGGTCTCTTATATTAAAACAATGCAAAATGTTATAAACGAGTCCAGTTTTTTGGACCTCTACGGTCTTTCCACGGCCAGTTTGATAGTCCCAAGTTTGGGGGATTTACGCACGTGTGAAACCACTGTCAATTCAATGTTTGGATGTGTTGTTCTTTGCCATTTATTAAATTTTCCCTGTCTTCTTGCCAGTCCAAAGCTGCCTATGTCCTCTTCTATCAACGCCAGGACAAAATCTGCCACCCAACTCCTCTTGCTGCATCCATGAGTGCGTCTGCCTGCGGGAATGAGGAGGACTATGCTGCCTGCTGTGATTCTCACTCTCAAGAGCTAGTAAACCGGGACTTCATGGATGTGGACTGACCTTCACCTCGCTTCCCTTCTCCATTTGCAACAGGCGGAGAGCCATATACGTTCCCTTCCTTGTACTGAAGGGGGCAGCTGGATTTCAGGCCTTGGAATAAGGGCAGGCCAGGGATGTAGGAGACGAGATAGAGCCCCTTAACCAGCACAAGTAGACCTGCCATCTTCCTGTGTCCAAAGGGCAAGGCTCTTTGCTTAGCACATAGTCCCCCCACTGTGGAGGGGGAAGATTGACTACTCTTTAAAAGGCTTGTGCCTTACATCAACATAATAAGATGGCTGGATGGAACATAGGCTTCCTGGATTGTCTCCTCCATTCCCCCTTTTTTTTTACATCTTAAAATTGAGATGCTTTTATTAGCACTAGGTTTCCTATGTGGAAGGAAACTTAAATGCATTGTTTTTATGCTGGCTGTGCACTCCCCCCACCCCACCCCCAATCTCCCGCAGTATTAGGCCACTCTAATCAGGGTATCTACCCTTGTTTTGCTGCTCGCAACTTCACGTCTTCACCTCCACTTCTCCATTGCTGGTTCCTGTGCTTTGGGAGGAGTTTGCAGAGATACTAACTCCTGTGTAGTCTGTGGCTAATTAGGACGCTTCCCTGCTATTGCCCTACCTGACATTGGATAGGTCTGGATAAATGGCCCCTCATATTCTTTCCTGTCATTTACCTTCCAAGTGCCTCCTTTTAGCTCCCCAATGAAGCAATAATTCCAATATTGTCCTGCCCTATCTTCCAGCATCTGGTAGAAATCTGCAACTCGCATGCTTGTTTCTGAATTTCCTTGTATTAATCCTCATTTCTGAAGCTCACCTCCAGTTATTAAGGTGACTGTGAGCCACTGAGCCCCAAAATGCTACTTTTTAACTCTTGCATCCAAACCTGTTTGGGAAGACAGCCATTTTTTTCAGTCTATACTGTGTTGCAGTTCCCTTCAGCCTAAGGACTGTAGGAGAAAATTAACTACCAGTTCTTGAAGTTTCTTTTCAGTTGGCCTGATGCCTACCAGGTGTAGCCCTGTTCGAGCAAAACTTCGGAATTCTTCCCTTTTATCTGAGTCTCTGCTGCCACTGCTGTTGCTACTTCTAGGCTCAGGGATTGCACTAGTTTGTAAATAGGTTTGTGTGCGCAGTGCAGTGGATAGAATACAGCAGGAAGCAGTGTTGATCAAGCACAGGACACTCACTGTTGGCAGGAGCACATAGTGCATTTAATTACTTAAAGAGTTTGGAAGAATATTCTTTCACTTAACTCTTTGAGCTTTTATTTCTCTTGAAGTTATCTTGCAGAAGAAAATATTTTTTGGCATGTGTACATAAAGTAACTTCTTTTAAAAGGCATATGGCCTCTCTTTTTCCCTTGGGATTATCCCTTACAGCAGGGGTGTCCAACCTTGGCAACTTTAAGACTTGTGGACTTCAACTCCCAGAATTCCTCAGCCAGCAAAGCTGGCTG